TCACAGGGACACACGATAGGGTGCTTCGATAATCAAGAACAACAACGACTAGGTCAGAGGCAACGCCTACTAGAGCTATACCGAAGTATACCACTAGTAGTAAGAAGTCTTACTGACCCCCAGAGTAAGTATCTTAGTAACGGAATAACAAGGTGAAATTGAGCGCGAGTAAGGAAAGACTAGATACATGGCTGGAATTTTCCCTCCTTTTATATCTCCTTCTGAGTGTACCATTTGTATACCTTACAGTGGTATACCATCGAGGTCCTCCAAGGCCTTTTGGTATACCTTTCTTGGTATATCTGGATGGTATACTTATACCATGTCACGTGATCTCCGATGGTATGTCTTTGTGTAGTTTCTGCCTCGCGGGGTAATTGTTTCATCCTGCATCGCTGTGTTGGACAGCGTTGTCTCCGGTTGGTTCATAACATCACTCCCTCTCTCCAAGGTCTTTGTCCTCAAAGACATAAATAGAAGCTTCACCCTTATCATCTCCGTGGTCCTCGTTTCTCTTCTTGGTGAGTGATGATGCTGTTTTCACCATGCCTCGTGATCGCTATAAGGAACGTCTTCGTCAAGCTGACTTAATTCATCATCATGGTTTTCCAGTTGATCCTCCTTGTCATTATTGTGAACGTAAAAATCAATCGTGTATAATGGATTCAAAGAGTCGAAATTGCGCTGCTTGCACTCGTCGTGGTCGGAAATGCGAAAAACGATTTCATAGCGATAAAGAGTGGAATGATCTTTTGAAAGCCGAACAAAAGATCGATTCAGACCTTCTGAAAATTTCTGAGGAGTTGGCTCGCCTTCATGCCAAACAAGTCCGTTTATTGAAGCAGAAACGTCTTTTGCGAGAACGGGGTTCTAAGATGTTGGAACATGATTCCTTGGTGATGGAACAATTAGATGAAGAAGATCCTCTCGGCATTCCTCCCGATTCTCCTATCGAGAGTGAACAAAATCTCGCAGCGTTGTCCGAAGTTCCTAATCTGACTGAGAGTCAGATAAATGAGATTCTTCGCTGGTCTCCGAATCCATCTGAGCTTGTTGCTGTCGGTGGAATTCTCGAATCTTCTCACGGCAATTCGTCAAGTTCTTAATTGGTTCCCATGTGTTTTCTGAAGTATCGTATCCCTTCCACTTGACTAAGTAATAGATTTGACCGTTGACTCTTTTCCTTGCCAGAATCTTTTCGACCTCGTATTCTTCTTCTGTGGTGTCGTCCAGTTCGATATTTCCGGGTTCCTTGGCGTTTTCTGGTGCTCGTTCCAGCAATGAGATATGAAAAATTGGATGTATCTTCATGCTTTCTGGTAGTTTGAGTTTGTAGTTCACTGGTCCGGTTTTCTTTTCAATGGTAAATGGTCCTAGTCGAATGTGATCCAATTTTGCGCTCGGTCGTTTAGTTTTGATGTTTCGTCGTAGAAGGTAAACTTTCTCCCCCTCCTTGAGATCTGGTCCCTCAGATCTCTTCTTATCGTAGTATGTTGCCATTCTGAGGTTCACGAATTCAATATCTCGTTGCATCATTGTATGCATGTGTCGTAGATTGTCCGCATGTTCTTTTGCCAGTGGTGCTTCTTCTTGCTGTTTCAGAGGTTCATAGGCCAATTGAGGGTGATATCCGTAGTTCGCGTAGAATGGTGTTTCTCCAGTCGTCGAACTGATTGCGTTGTTGTATGCAAATTGCGCAATTGGTAAAATATCAACCCAATTATCCTGATCATAATCAAGATAATGTCGAAGATATTGTTCGATTGTCTGGTTGGTTCGTTCGGTTTGCCCGTCGGTCTGTGGATGGTATGAGGTGCTGAGTCTATGCTCTACCCCTATCAGATCCATCCATGAACGCCATAGTTTCGAAATGAATATCTTATCTCTGTCGGTTGTGATGAATCGTGGCATTCCATGATTTGCTGTGACCGTTTGCAGTAATACTGCTGCTATTTGTGTCGCATTCGCTGTTGATTCCACTGGTTTGAAGTATGCGTATTTTGTCAATCTGTCAACGATCACCATGATAGCATCATAGTGCTTCTTAGTCGTTATGTCAAGCGATTTTGGTAACTGCGTGATGAAGTCGATAGTAATCCATTCCCATGGCCTTTTTGGTACTTCTAGTGGTTGAAGCTTTCCATATGGTTGATGTCGTGCTGGTTTGTTTCTTTGACAGCTGTCACAATTTTTGATGTATCGTTCCACTGTTCGTCTCATGTTCGGAAAGTAGTAATTCCTCGAGATCTGTTCCGTTGTTTTCTCGGTTCCCATGTGCCCATGAGCCGGTAGATCGTGGTGCATTTTGATCACTTCTTGCCGTAGGCTTTGTGGCACATAGATAAGGTTGTGGAGATAGACAATCCCATCATCACCTTGAGTCAGTTTGTCGTTGTCTGCAGAGTTCTCTAACATTTGTTGAATCATGGTGTCCCTTTTTGTTTCCTCAATGAGTTTGTCGATAAATGATGATTTCAAGAGTTCGCTTGTTGCTTCAAGACTAGCAACCTGATGATTATACATCATGGTTCCGTCTTCAGTCTTCCGAAGCAGTGCTGGTTCAGGTTTTCGAATTCCTTCTTCATAGTCCGCTCGTCGGCTCAGTGCATCTGCTTGTCCATTTTCTTTTCCCTTGCAATGCTCAATGACAAAGTCATAGTTTGCAAGTATCTCGGCCCATCTTGCCTGCCTTCGCGTCAACACTTTAGTTGTCGTGAAGTAGGTAAGATTTTTGTGATCAGAGATCACTCGGATAGTGTGTTTGCTCCTTCCAAATAACTCTCCATGTTCGAAATGCTGACACTATAGCCAACAATTCCT